TTATTATCATCATTAGTTTGCGTGGGGCTATCTTAGCTTCTTCTTTGACCTGTGGTATGGTCTTGTTCATTTTTTTAATTCAAAAATTTTGGCCATTATCTATTCAAATATTTATTTTTTTCTGTTCTGTTCTTGTTCTCTTCTCTTTGTGAGGCTCCAATTTGTTAAACCATCTTATATTTTCCCGTCTTAGATACTCTGTTCATTCTCTCTTTTTCTTTTATTTCAGTTTAAATAATTTATATTGAACTATCTTCAAGTTGATGGACTATTTTCTCAGCTGTCGTGAGCCCAATGATCACCCTGAGTAAATGCTTCATCTCTGATACTATTATTTTTAATAATTTCCCTTCCTCTGGTTATAGAACCCTTTCACTCTCTGGACAAATGCAAATATAGTATCTTCACGGTTTCCATCTTTCTGCCAAAATTCCTCCTCTGTTCAGTCATCTACCTTTTCTACTAACTCCTTTAATATACTAATAATAATTAGTTTAAAGTCCCTGTCTGATTGTTCCAATATCTGGGCCTCCTTAATTTGGTTCTGTTGAATGTTTATCTATCAACAAAGGACCAGTTTTCCCTTGCTCTGTTTATGTCCAATAATTTTTTATTGAATGCTGAGCAGAGACTGAGATAATTATTATTTGCACTTGGAACATGGCATATCTATTCTGTCAAGCCATTAGTGTGGAGGAGTTAAATCAATTTAGATAGGAATTGAACTTGGTATAGATTTTACTATTGTTTTAGTTACCTTCAGCACACCATAGATTTCAAATTCTTCTAATGGTGGACTACCATTATCTTGTGCTTAAGAAGAGAGATGAAGGAGAGTTCTTCAATTTACCTGTTTTCCTCTCAGCTTTCAACTATTTCTACATAACTCTATGACACAGGGATCTCTATATTCTTGACCTTCCCCCAGCAGTAGAAAGCTTTTTTGTCTATTGCTCGGTGGTAGGGCAGGTAGGATTTTCAATTGTCCTTGGTCAGCCTCAGTATTAGGCAGGTCCTGCGCATCAGAGGGTTCCTCCCTCGGGAAGCAGAAGGGTTTGGCTTCTCATCTTCCCCCCATAAATTTATGAAATAAGGCTTTCGGCCCCTCCTGCATTGGTTTGAGGCTTAAAGGAGTTTGAGTAAATGAGAGTGGTTTTGTACCTATCTATCAGCAGCTACAGATTACCTCTTTTACCTCTTCACCACCAAAATGACTGTTCTTTTTTCTTTTTAACGTTTATTTATTTTTGAGAGAGACAGAGATAGGGTGTGCATCGGGGAGGGGCAGAGAGTGGAGGGAGACAGAATCTGAAGCAGGCTTGAGGCTCCAAAGTATCAGCACAGAGCCTGACGTGGGGCTCAAACCCACAAACTTCAAGACCATGACCTGAGCCGAAGTTAGCTTAACCGACTGAGCCACCCAAGCGCCCCCAAAATGACTTTTCTCAAGTCTCTTACTTGCCTCCAGTCTTCACAATGAGTATCTTGTGGAGTTCCAGGGATATGTATTTGCAAGCCTGTATGAACTTCCCTTTCATCTGGGGCCCTGAGGTATTCCAAACTAGTTCATGCTTAGTCTTTAACTATCACATAAAACTTTAGCTGATTTCTTCTTATCCACTCTTACAGCAGCCAACTCTTTCATGCTCTGCCAAAGGTGAAACAATTAATGACCCATTCCTTGGGGACAGGAGAGTGTTCAATTCTTTGGAATTTAATTTACTTGGCTGCTTTGCAAGCTCAGCTCTTTGAAGGACTCAGAAAAATTATGATTTTGTAAATCATCCAGCTTTTTTATTGTATGTGAGAGTGGGATGTTCCATGTCCACTATCTATACCTGAGTAGAAGTCCCCTTCCACTTCCGTCCACCTTCCTTTTCTATTGTGGAAAGGCATCACCACTCTTCTAGCCACCCAGAAAAAGCCCGGGAAGTATTTCTGACTTTTCTATAATAATGTTTAATATCCAATCAGTTGATAAAGTCTGGATTAAATAAATCACTAATATATATATATATATATATATATATATTTTAACGTTTATTTATTTTTGAGACAGAGAGAGACAGAGCATGAACAGGGGAGGGGCAGAGAGAGAGGGAGACACAGAATCTGAAACGGGCTCTAGGCTCTGAGCTGTCAGCACAGAGCCTGATGCGGGGCTCAAACTCACGGGACCGTAAGATTGTGACCTGAGCTGAAGTCAGACGCTTAACCGACTGAGCCACCCAGGCGCCCCATATATTTTTTATTAGGATCCTTTCTATTTTTCTAGTATAACTACTTACAATGGTCTTTTTATAACAATATTCCTTCGACTAGATGCCCCCTTCAATCTGCCACCTATTTCTTTTCTTGGGTGTGTGGGATGGTTGTATTTTCATTTTTTGGCTTTTTACGTTTTTATTTTAATTCATTAGTTAGCACACAGTGTTATATTAATTTCAGATGGACTTCTTCTAAATAAACCTGACTGTATCATCAGACTGCCTAACTACAGTATTGTTTTGACTATTTACAATCAAGGCCATGATCAATCTGATCTTATTCTGTCTTTACAGGCTACCTTCCTACAGGTATAGGTATTCTACTCTATTTCCATACTGACCCAAGCCCTTTTTTTAACAATTTGGAAATCTTATAATTCAAGGCCTATTACAAAGGGGACACTTTCCATGAAAAAACGTCCATGATCGCACAGACAGAATTCCTCTCTTCCAAACTATATGCTGCATTACTGCTTTATTTGTACTATAAAAATAACACTTATTATGGACTAGTATTAAATTGTACACATCTCTTACATCCTTTACAATATTATAAACTCCAGACAGAGATCAGACCTTATAAACTGTTATATTCTCTTTTTAGCTTTTCCACATATTTATCTTGCAAATTAAAAAAGCAAAATTAATAACATGCCACTTCCTTCCTTATAATCCATGCATTCTTAATTCATCCCTGACAAGGCTACTAAAAAATTTTGCCAGCCTGGAAATGTTGTCTGGTTTTGAAATGTTGTCTCAAAAAGGAAAAAAACACACACTGCAACTATAATGATCATGCCACCCATTTTCAGAGGAAAACCCAATTAGGTTTAGCTTAGGGACCTCCTAGCAAAGCCAACCATCTTTACTATTAAATCTGTAATGGTGATCTCAAACACAAATATACTGAAATCTCTTTATTTATTAGTTCCACGTAAATCACCCCAAGAGACCACAAATTTTACCAAGGGAAACCACTGCCTCTGATAAAAAGAAACAAGCCTATCTACCTTCGTGCCTGGTTTGGTAATCATACTCAGGCACTTTGCCAAGATGGAAAAGTAAGAAGTTTCTACTAAATCATTTTCAATTAATAGGGAAAGGTATAGTCACAAACAGATACAGGAAGAAAAAGAACAGTTCTAATAGTTTATTCCTTTTTGTAACAGTACTCTTAAATACATTTTCGAGAAAGAGCATGTAAAAATCCTATATGCTATTTTAGTGAAAAGCCGGGGTAGGCGCCATCTTTGCCACTTAGCTTTCCCAACGAGGCTACGTGGCTGGGGCCACACTGGAACCTGAACTTAATTTGACTCAGATACCAGATTACATGTCAAAAGCTTTATCTTCTCCATGTACTCTTGAGAACTGCACAAAATGAAAAATGCTCCTTGCTAAAACAAACAATACATCCAATAGGTATCCTTATCAATTTGACACAGAACTGTTATCCAACAATTCAACTTCTAGTAATTTAGTGTGAGAAAATAATCATGTAAAGAAGCTCAGCACAGCACTGTTCATAATGGTAAAACATAAGAAACAATTTAAATATTAATAGGGAATCACTTATACAAAACAAAGTGCATATATACTGTTCAACAGTGGAAAATGTTGACATAGATCTATGTGTTTACTGACATGAGAAGACGTCCACAGCATGCTGTTCTAAGCAAATGTGTTATTCAACCACATACACATCTGTGCATGCTCATATGTAGTACTCCTAAAAGGCACGATATGGGGCATGTGCCATTACCAATTTATTGCCTCTCAACTCCGAAGTCATACTTTATTGCCTGCTCTGCAAAAATGAAGCTGGCCCGTTTATCTACCTTTCCTCTGCAGCGGACATATGTTTTAAATTTTATTAGTATAGGGTGCTTCTCCCAACACTCCAACCCCTCAGGTGGTTTTGTAGCAGAAAGCCTTCAAGGAGACACCCCCTTGTGACTGGTCTTCTCTAGCACACTAGATACTGGGTTTTGAGCAGGGTTTGACAGCATAATAGCACAGCAATTACTCTGTTGTCCAGTGAGACATGGCCACACTCTCTCCAACACGGTCTGGATTTTAGTCCTGAGGGGTTGAACACTCTCTCTCAGACCTACAGGTTGTGGCTGCTCTTTATATCTGCCATTCTTATATTCACTAGAGTTCTCTTTACTTCTTGCTAGCCAACCCTTTGTTACTTTAATCCCATCATAGTTCATAGTTCTGTGTATTAATGATCATCTGTTCAAATTATTGTGTGGTTTCCCCATCGACTTTGACTGATATAGAGTAGGGGTTTTTTTTCCCCCTTTTTACTTTTCAATGTTGTCTGATCTTATAATAAGCAATTTTTGTGCATGATAATCAGAAAAGGCAAGTTATTTTTATTTCGGAAAAATTTAATGTAAAATAAATATTACCTCAAGTAAAGTTTTTCTATTTTAATAGAGCAGAAATATATTTGTAAAATTAAAATAACTGAAATGTGAAGAACATTCATGTAAGCCTGTAATTTTACAGTTTTCCTTTTCAACATTCTCCAAAGTTGTGTTTCTAGGCCATTTTAAGCAACAGAAATTATTTAGACTGCTTTCTCTTCCTCTTAGCTATGCCATATACTGGCCTTTACAAACAGGATATTAATCATGGGGTATCCCAGAGTAATAGGTACTGTGACAGGTACTAGTTCCTCGACACAGTCAGCCTCTTTCATTTTACTATTTCAGCCCCTCTTACCATGTTCAAGGATTATCAGTTGGGCTCCAGCTTGTACATTTCCAACATCATTCTCAGCAATGCATTGGTAGAACCCTTCATCTGATTTCACCAGACCCAAAACTTGAAGATTATGTTCCTTCTGAGAAAGAAAAACATAAGCAAAATGTTATGATTCAACTGATGAACATTAGTTGAAAATCTCAAGAGGATGCTCTTTCTGGGAAGGAAGAACAAGTAAAATTGTATGATTCAGCTATCAAAATATCTATGTACCTATTAACTGAATTTTATTGACAAGGTACTGATTTAACTGCCTAGAACAGGAAACACTGTAACTAACCAATTAAGAACTTAATCCTTATGGAAAGTAATACCTACAACGTTTGAAAACCTACATCTTTGTCCGGAAAAATACCTGACATACAATACCACGTGACCACAGCAGAAGTCTGAATTTATGAATTCAAGGCACTTTCTTAAAATTATCTCTAATATCATTAGTTGTAACAGATTAGACCACGATAAATTAAGTGAGGCCACATATATACGGCTTCCCTTAAATTATAAAGTAATATAAATGTCAAATACTGTTGTTATTAATATGGTTTTAAGATTTTTAAGAATACTGTGAAAATGATAAAAGAGTAAAAAAATGCCAATTTAGCTGTAACACACTGCTTTTTAATTAAACACTTGTGAATTACTTTTTATAACATACAAGATTATGCACTTCAAAACAGAAACTATATTCTTACTAAGAATGAATCACTAATGAGAGAAATTTATAATAAGACATTATTATATCATTAACAACCATAATTATTTCTTATTATTTCTATGAATGTCACATATGTACCTTAAGATATGAATCCTTATTACCAAAACCTAGATATTTCTATTACTAGGATTAAAACAATGATAACAGTAGACAATATTTACTAAGCATTTAACCCTATATAAAAAAACAAAAAACAATTAATGGCTCGGTATTCTTAAATAAATTTAATGCTATTTAATTCTTAAGGATTTTTTTTTATCTATTGTCACAACCCTGGGTCATACTTATTTTGAAGGGCCTAGAATCAGTATATATGAAGGACAGATGCTGCTCTTTGAATAGAGATATGAAGAGAGCAGGTGCACACACAGGATAATCATTACCAAGAAAATAGTGACAGCTGTCTTTAAAAGTGCTAGCATGTCTGAGTAGAAATACTAGACTGCTGATCAGATCTGGATCTTAGGCTTACTTCAACTACTGACATGCTATGCGATCCCATAAAAACTACCAAAACATGTCTAGGCTCAGCTTTCTTATCAGCCAGTGAAGAGATTACGTTCTGTAATATTTTTCTATCTTCATCTGCGGTACATAAACTGGCATGTGGAAGACAACAGATCTCTTAGTGACTGCATTTAAAGACACGCAAAGGGGCGCCTGAGTGACTCAGTTGGTTAAGCGTCTGACTCAGCTCAGGTCATGATCTTGCGATTCATGAGTTCAGGCCCCATGTCGGGCTCTGTGCTGACAGCTCAGAGCCTGGAGCCTGCTTCAGATTCTGTCACTCCCTCTCTCTCTCCTTCCCCAGTCAAGTTCTGTCCCTCTCTCTCTCTCTCTTTCAAAAATAAACAAACATTAAAAAAATTAAAAGAAAATAAAGACATGTAAAGGTTTCAGAGATAAGCGTCCTCTGAAAAATACTTACTACAATCTTAAAGTAATCACTTGGGATAACCACATCTCCATTCTTGACCCACTTCACAGTTGGAGTCGGTTTCCCAGTCACTTCACATTCGAATACAATATCCATGGACTCATGAGCATATATATTCGTCGGCTGTTTCAAGAATTCTGGTTGGACTTTAAAATAGAAAGGAAATTAGGATATTAATAAAAATAAATATAGCTAGCTATTAACATTTCAAATAATTTTTTTAAATCATAGAATTCACAGGATTTTTACTTATTATTTGAGGCTTTCACATAGTTTTATAAAAGCATGTAACATATATTCAAAACATTTGTTGGAACTCCATACATATCTTTACGAATTGTATTTTGGTACAATTAACTGGAAGGATAATTATAAAGATAATTTCTGAGATTCCTTGTTGATAAATATATATTTAGTGGACTATATTGAAGAAACTGATATGAATATTCTAAACTGTCTAAAATGAGTATTTTTTTTTTAATTTTTTTTCAACGTTTATTTATTTTTGGGACAGAGAGAGACAGAGCATGAACAGGGGAGGGGCAGAGAGAGAGGGAGACACAGAATCGGAAACAGGCTCCAGGCTCTGAGCCATCAGCCCAGAGCCCGACGCGGGGCTCGAACTCACGGAGTGCGAGATCGTGACCTGGCTGAAGTCGGACGCTTAACCGACTGCGCCACCCAGGCGCCCCTAAAAATGAGTATTAAAAGACTACTTCCCTAACGTTTATACCATTTCGGAAGAACCATAACCAAACTTTTTAAAAAACTGAGAAAACTAACAGTATTTTTCTTGTCAGTCAGCTGAGTAAGTAACAACAACAACAACAACAACAAACACCAAAAAAACAAAAAGGGAATACAAATGTCATATTAGAGGCCTTAAGTAGTTCACTCATGTAACATCCCTCATTAGTAACATCCCTCATTAGTAACATCCCTCATTGCATGATATAGTTTTCAAGGGTGGGAGAAAGAGTAGCAGGACCTTTGGCAGAAAAAGTCTGAACATTCCAGTATCTCTCTCTCCCTGCCCTAAAGTTGTAAATCACTGACTTACAAATAACAGAGGAAGACTGAATTAGAAGGATAAGAATAGATCATTTAGTCAACCTCCAACCTAACGTTGTAATTTCCTATGCAACATCCTTGACAAGGGGTCTCATTAATCCCTATTTCAAAATTTCAAATGATAAGCCTCCCTGTATCTGAAAGCAGCAAGTTCCACTGTAGGGTAGTTCTACCAAATGAGCAACCATGACAACAGCAAGGGTTTGCTTTTGTTTTTGTTTTTAATGGTTGAGCTACAATGTGCTTAGCCTGCTGGGATTTTGATTGGGATTGTTAAATTTGTGGCAATTTGACATCTTAACTATACTGAGTCTTCCTTTCCCTGAATTTGGTTTACCTCTCCATTTATTTAGTTCTATGGTTTCTCTCATCATTGTTTCCTAGTTTTCAATACACAAATCTTGTTCATACTTTTTTTAGGTATTTCCCTAAGGATTCTGGTGCTACTTTTTTCATACTTAATTTTTTATTTAGTTTCCAATTGTTCACTGCTAATATGATTTACGTATATAACTTTTTATCCTATGCTCATGCTGAACTCACTCATTAGTTCTAGTAGCTTTTTATAGACAATTGGGGGATTATCTACATAAACAATCATGTTGTCTGTGAATAGAGACAGTTTTATTTCTTCTCTTCCAATCTGCTTTGGTCTTTTTTTTTCATTTTCTTGCCTACTCCACTGGCTAGAGGGCTAGACTGGGGCAGGTCCTGGGAACAAATCCAGGGTTAATGAAGAGTAAGAGTAGAGTAGAGCAAGTAGGTAGAACCCCAGAAACTGGTAGGAGCCAAGGATGGAAAGAACACATGATCTTAAGAAGCAACTTCCTGCTCATCATCAGTCAGACCCATGGTACCCCAGCAGGTAACTTTCCACACACAAGCTCAGGTCTGTGGAATCTAGAAGATCTCCTGTGGACCAGCTTGGCCCATGGCTGTGTTCTCTGGCAGCAATTATACCCTCCCTGAGGTCTGAATTGCAACCTTAGACTGGGATGCCCTTTTCCAAGTTTGCTCGCTCCTTTTGCTCTAGAGGTAGTACCTGCTCCTTCAGTATTCCTTAGAGTCCTTTGTCCTTTTTAGTAGTTAAAACATTTTTACTAGTTAATAATTCTTTATATTAATATTTCTTTGTTCAAATTCCTGGTGTGACTTTTGGCCCCTGACTGGACCCGGGCTAATACACTAATGTAAGTCTCATACACGCTGCCAATATTTCTTCCCAATTTTTTCTTTTGTCTTTTAACTTAAGGCACCTGTTGTTCTACCAAAATTTTCAATTTGTATGTGGTAAAATTTATCAGTTCTCCCTTTTTTGGCATCTATATTTTGTTATTCTTGCTCCAAAGGTTTTCCCTGCCTCCATACTATAAAAATATTCACTTGCAATTTCTTCTAGTATGTCTGGGAAACAATCTGGACATCACCAAGTATCCAGCTTTACATTTTTCTAAATGGCAACCTCAGTAATCCCAATAACATTACATGATTTGAAATCGTTTTTTGGTTTTAAACTTTAAAAAAAAATTGTTTTGAGATAGAGAGAGAGAGAGAGAGAGAGAACGAGCAGGGGAGGGGTAGAGAGAAAGGGAGAGAGAATCCCAAGCAGGCTCCATGCTGGCAGCACAGAGCCCGATGTGGGGCTCAATCTCACAACCCTGAGATCATGACCGAAGCTGAAATCAAGAGTTTGACACTCAACTGACTAAGCCACCTAGGCACCCCAAAATCGTTTTAATATTAAAATCCTATGTATTCTTGAGGGGCAGTTATTTCTGGATACTATGTGGTTTCCCTGATCTGTCTATTCCTGCACTAGAACCAAAAACTTAATGGCTGTAACTACACAATATTTTAAAATATTTATTTCCTCAAAACTTTCCTCATATTGTTAGTTTTTTGTTTTGTTTTGTTTTTAATTCCAGATGAATTTAGACTCACCTTTGGTCAAGTTTATCTGGTCTTTCTCAAAGAAAACATACAAACAAGAACAACCCAGAGTTTTCATTTTAGTGCAATAAATTTTAGATGCAGGAAAAAATAACTTTTAAAGAAAAAAAAATTTTTTTTAATTTTTTAAAGAAAAAAATATTTTAGATGCAGGAAAAAAATATTTTCAATTCTGAGTGTTCCCTATTTAAGATCAGATGTTTAAGCTTATTTGAATATTATTCAATAATGATTTACTGTAAAGACACTGCAATGACTGAAGTCAAGAGATTTACACATGAGTTCTGGTTTTACCAGTAGACATTTTGTTGGCCATGGGTTTCAGTCTGCTCCTATACTAAATAAGGAACTCAACTGGACTATTCCTAAATACACCAAGGTCTCTAACCAACTGCAACATCATGATTTTGGTTTATATATCTGATGTATGATAATAGCTAACATTCACGAGTACTTTCATTTCTTATCATTATTTCCCACAACCCTACTATTTAGGTCCATTTTATAGACAAGGATACTAACACACCGAGAGGCTAAGTAGCTCCATCAGGTCACAAGGCTTAGTCAGTGACAGATCTGGATTTTGAACCTAAGCAGTCTGACTTTAAACCCTATGTTCTAACTTTTTACTTTAGAGAAAGTAATAATAAACCCCATGTACTGTCATATAGCTTCCACAATTATCAACTCATGGCCAGTGTATTTCATCATCTATATCCTAACCCTACCCCATGTCTTTCCCCAGGTTACTCTGAAAGCAAATCCCGGGTATCACTTTAATATATATAAGTATTTAAGTAAATTCCTCTATAAAACAAGAATTCCCATTTCTAAACAAAACTATAATACCATCATCAGGTTGGTATCTACAATAATTTCTCAATATCATCAATTAGCCATCAATTAGTTAATTTTACTAACTGGCCTACATTTAAAAAAATGATTTATTTGAATTGGACAAACAAGGTACATTCATTGGTATTAATCTGTTGCTTACATTTCTTTTAACCTACATGTTTCCTCTTTATCTCCTATCTTTGTTTGCAATTAATTTGCTGTAGAAATCATCTGCTCTATAAAGTTTCTTGCAGTCTGTCTTTTGCTGACTGCATGCCATGGTGGTATTTAAACACATTCGTCCTGCATTTAGCAGTTAAATGTAGATGCTTGACTGGAGTTAGGCTCCTTCTTATTTTTTCAAGTCTATTTCATAAGTAGTGCCACGGTCCTTCCGTCAGGAGAGTTCATAACGTGTGACCATCTCTCTTTTTGTGATGTTAGCAGTCTTATATACTGTGAAATAATAATATTCTTATTCTGTCATTCCTTCTATAAAAAAAAAAACCCTCATCAATTATTTGGTTATCCTTAAATATACCTCTCAAAGAAAGAGCAGGATAAATGTTTGATTTCTTCCCTTATCAATTTTTCAAAATAATGGTCTGGCTCTCTAATATTCTCCCAACTGAAGGGAATCACTGAAGGGTTTTTTAAAAAGTACTCTTATGATTTCATGGATTAAAATAAATTTGATTTGTTTCAATCCATGCAAGTTATTATTCTTTTGATTCACAAACTATCCCCCTTTCTGACTACTGGAAGCCTGAGTACACTGAAAGTTCCTGAGTCCTTTTTGACATGATCCTAGTGGTCTTTGGTATTTTCTGGTCACAGTTTTAGGCCCTATTTGTGGACAAAACTAGCAATTATATACTTTTTATATATAAAATTGATCATGATTTCATTCTGTTCTCCAATTAAATTCAAAACCATAGGTTTTAACTAGATCATAATAATTTCACATCTGTATTTCTTTTCTCTCATACTAAAAATCCATTCTCACTGACACCAACTCATATGTTTTATCTTACACTCAGTAGGCTCAGAATAATGATACCAATGTTTCCACCAACAATATAATACCAGAAAGCAGCTCAAGATTTTTGTAGTCTTTTTTGTCCTCAGCATATATCCCATTAGATATATATGGTCCAATTGGCATTTTACATTTATTTGTAATAATAACTTTCTTTTTTTTAAATGTTTATTCGAGAGAAAGAGAGAGAATGAATCCCAAGTGGTCTCCATGCTGCCAGTGTAGAACTCCACTTGGGGCTCAATCCCA